GTCTGCTGTTGCAGTAGCATTCCATCAATTCCAGGTTCTCTTGTCTCATCCATGTATGGTTTTGTTCCAGTAGCCCACTTATCTTCTGATTGTCCTGGTTCCCCAACATCTGACGCGGACCTTGTTAATCCAGGCAATAACCGAGACGGCATGACTCTCTTAGTTCGTGTCACTCTCATATTTGAGGTAGGCAGATGAAGCATCAGGGGGTCTTTGCCCAAGGACCCCTTACTGGTAAGGTAGGTACCAGCTGGGATTTGAACCCCGGTCTCCTGCGTCAAAGGCGGTGCTCTAACCACTACACTATCCAGCCGCTCATACATACGTTCTTATTTATTTATTTATTTATTTATTTATTTATTTATGGTCAACTCAAGGCAGTGAACATACCCAATACTCCTGCCTCCTATTTTCCCCCAACAACAACCCTGTGAGGTGGGCTGACAGAGCATGACTGGCTCAAAATCACCCAGCTGGCTTTCATGCCTAAGGAAGGCCTAGAACTCAGTCTCCTGTTTTCTAGGCCACGACCTTAACCACTACACCAAACTGTCTCTCTTTAATTTTAATTAAATCTCTTTAATTTTACAAATTTTAAGAATTTCCATAAAAATAAGTAACATTTAAATTTGAATGTAACAATCAAATGATGGAAGAACTCCTCAGTAAAAGTTATGAATGGTTATTCTGTAAACTTTGTCATATCCAGGACTTGTGAATATTAATAATATTATTCTCCTAAATATACTTGTGATTTATTGGCCTCTTTATTGATCAGCCAATGTTGGCAGCACGTAGACATCTTTAGAAAGTTAAGCAGGGTTTGCCCTTGCTAGTATTTAAATGGGGAACAATTTGTGAAGGTCAAGGCTGCAGGCTAGACATCAACATTTAGCTCCCTGCTGATTCCTTATACCTCCTGGATCAATGCCCACCACACTCTCTGTTCCAGCTAGCCTTTTAAAAATTATTTGAATTAAAAAATAAAATAGGAAGCTACCATGTTGAAAGACAAAGCGCTATCATATTTATTTGCAGGAATATCTTTGGGCCCAACAGAGGTTCCATTGGGATGATAGAGACCAACCATTCTGGCAAATGATTGTTTTGTGACTAGACCTGCCATAGCAGTTGTTTTCTGAATACACAATTCTCCCAAGATAGCCATTTTGCAAGTCATCCTCCAAAACACAAAATCTTTTACTTCACAGTTCCAGTAAGTTCCATTTGATTCATTTACAGTATGACCAAAAACAAGTTAGTTCTTATTACCTGAATCCATAAGCATTACAAAGCCATCACTGCCATCACTATCTACTGACAGTCTATCTTCAAGACCACTGCCATCTAGTGAACTGGTATCAAAGGAATGTTGTGAAGTAGTCTTCTTCATGGAGGAGAAGCGCATACATTCACCACTACTTCCTACTTGAGTCACTGCCGCCTCTTCAGGTTTTGGTGAAAGATCTCTGCTGACAATCACAGATCAAAGTTTGTTGGTATCAATCAACATAGTTGTCATGGGAGCATACAGATGCAGCCATCACTATTGCTACCCCCCCCCCAATTTTTCCAAAAGAATCCCAATTTGTCATGGAATAAGTTAAAACTGACACATGTAAATGGCATCCACCATTCTTTATTCTATAGCCCTTACAGCAGCCACTTTGTTTTTGATGTATGACTTAACATATTTTTGTAATAAATGAAAATGGCGTGGACATAATTATTGGTAGCCCTTAGAAGTTAAAAGACATATTAGATTTTAGTGATCCCTCAAGCAGACTATTTACTTAAATTAGTATCACAGGTGTCTCTAATATCAAGCAGTCACACAGCCTACTTCAATGGAGAAAAGTATTTATCCAGGCATTTTGTGTCATTGTGTGCAGAATGATGAACATGGACAAGATAAAGAAGAGAGTTGAGTGAGGAGGAAAGGAAGAAAGTAATAGCCAGGTATGGTAAAGGTAAAGGCTATAAAACCATCTCTAAAGAGCTTTATGGTCCTGTGACCATGGTTACTAATTTTATCAAGAAATTTAAGGTTCATGGGGCTGTAGCCAATCTCCCTGGATGTGGCTGCAAGCGGAAAATTGACCCCAGATTGAACAGGAGGATAGTTTGAATGGTAGAGAAAGAACCAAGGAAAACTTGAAAACAGATCCTGGCTGCCCTCCAAGATCAAGATACAATAATATAAAGTTGCACCATCCATCACTATTGTATTGAAAGTGGCCTCCATGGTAGAAGACCCAGGAAGATCCCACTTCTGAAAGATAGATACAAAAAAGCCAGACTGGAGTTTGCTGAAATGCATGTTGACAAGCCACAGTCCTGGGAAAATGTCCTTTGGACAGATGAAACAAAATTAGAGCTTTTTAGTAAGTCATAGCAGCTCTATGTTCACAGAGGAAAAACTGATGCTTTTAAAGAAAAGAACACCATCCCTACTGTGAAACATGGAGGAGGCTCCATAATGTTATGGGGTTGCTTTGCTGCCTTCAGCACTGCCTTGAATCTGGGGACACAATGAAATCAGAACATTATCAAAGCATTCTGGAGTGAAATATAGTGCCCAATGTTAGAAAGCTTTGTCTCCAGCAGGATAAGTATCCAAAACATACATCTAAGTATGGTTGAAAAATGGTTGAAAAGCAAACATTGGATTGTTCTGAAGTGGCCTGCTATGAGTCCTGATCTGAATCCAATAGAACATCTATGGAAAAAGCTGAAAATCACAGTTGGGAGGAGGTCCCATCAAACCTAAGACAACTGGAGCAGTTTGCTCAAGAAGAATGGGACAAATTGCCAGTTGAGAAGTCTTATTCAAAGCTTCAGAAAACACTTGATTGCAGTTATTGCCTCAAAAAGATGTGCTATGAAATATTAGATTAGGGGTACCAATAATTATGTCCATGCCATTTTCATTTGTTTTATTTACAAGAACGTGTTAAGTCATACATCAAAAGCAAAGTGCCTACTCTATGAAATAAAGAAAGGTGGATGCCATTTACTTGTGTCAGTTTCAACTTATTTTACAGCAAATTAGAATTCTTTGGGAAAAAGTGGAGGGGTACCAATACTTTTGGCCATGTCTGTAAATATTACACATGCAATTTTGTATTCTGCAAGAAAAACACATTGCAGTTCCCTCCTTTCTACTTCTCTGACAGGAGTGGCAGATACATTTTGTCTCACTGGAATTTTAAATATATTTCCTATAAGCAGTATTTTATCATACACACAAAAGAATAAATATAAAGATGAATTAGGAGACACCAATGTTCACTGCTTCAGTGACTTCAGTGTATGAAATTAAAGGGAGGTTTTGGGTCCTCTCAACTGTTACATGACCAGCACTGATTACCTCTACTAGGTTGAAAAAATGGCAAAGAAATAAGGATCTCTAAACAGATTGGCTTAACTGGTACTTTCCATAATGCCATTTGTAACTTTGAAAAAAATAATCAGTGTAAAGGTCTGAAAAGACAAACTGTCCATGGTCTAGGGAAGAAAGATGGCAGTGATAAATTACAGGAAAAAAAAGACCAGCACAGTACAATTGCTTACAGAATACCAAATGATGTCTCAAAAAACAATCTACAATGTATACAGTTTGCTTCTAAAATCCTAAAACTACAATTCATTAATATCACAGCACATTTGTTCATCCTAAAGCCAGCATATGAAGCAAGTGATGGGGCAAGGTTGCCTTACTGACAAACCTCATAGTAGAAGTGTAATCAAAGCAGAACTATAATCAAACGCCCATTAAATATTTCAACAGCAGGGAAAGGGTAAAATAAAATGAACTACAGATTACACTCACCCAAACTCATAAAGGAAGACAGAGCAGAAGATGGAAATTGGTTATACAGCCACTACCATTCTAACTGTAGTGTTAGTTTAAAGTATTACTTACTTGATTTGGGGGTAGAACAGCATTTTCTGCATAGTGGAAGCCATTTTTTCCTTGCTCAAGCTGAAAGCATCTTTTGTTATTGACATGGCTTCTTTAGTGAGGTCCATAGTCACATGAAAGGCTTCCTTGGTGGCATCCTTTGTTATATGCAATGCACTAGATAATTCCAACTCCATGTTTCTTAATGGAATCAATTCTTCTTGCCCATTGAGGGAGACATGTATACCACCTAAAGGATCTACAATGGAAGATGGTCTGGAAGGAAGAACTTCAGATGTCTTAGAAAGGTTGACAAGCTCATAGTGTTTCTCTGCACCAAGGACTTCTTCAGCTTCATGTGCTTCTTCTATAGGGCCCTTCTGTCCAGTGGTCTGGCTATGAAATTCTTCTGCCAAGGATCCATCAGTCTGTGTTTTCAGCATTCCATTTTGCAATGCAGTCACACTCCTATCTGTATTATCAGATCCGCTATCTTTTAACATTTTTGTGGGACTGCCATTTTCCTTCCCGGAGCTAACATCTGACTTCAGCTCTTTGCCTTCAGCAGTTAGTCCTTCCCTACTGTCTGAAGGTGAGAGTTCAGATTCAATTAGACTAGTAGTATCTGAATCTACAGATCTAGGTTCTAGTGAAGAACCAGGAACAGGATGCATTAGCAAAGCCACCTCAGTACTGTTCAACATGATGCCTATGCAAGTGGTTATGGAATCTAAAGGTGACCCAATTATTTCCTGGATATCTAGGGTAAATTGCCGTTGAAAAGTCTGCAAGACTTCCTTCATTCTAAGTAGCATCAAATACTGATAATGGTTGAGTTGCACCTTCACGTGTGCACTTGAATATAGAAGAACATGGATATCAGCAGATACTTCCATATCATTATCGTTCCCTTCATCATTAACAGTACAACTGTTTTCTTCCAAGACTTCCTTTGCCTCTGGGGTAAGATAGATGCTTCTCAAATTCTCCTCAGTCTTTGATCTTTGGCAGAATTGCTCCTCACTGGAAAAGTCCTGGTGCTTAGCATGGTTACTACAAGTAGTGGAAGATCTAAGTTTAACTTGTGAGATAGATGAGACCTGCAGCATCCTTGTCTGGGCTTCCTCCCATTTCTTTGGGAGGCAAGCCCACACACAGAGTGGAAAAGGATAGATAAAGTTAAGGGTCTCCCCTTTGGAACTCTTGGTCCCCTCAAAGTCCAAGGAGATCTCGGTAAAATTAACAGACCAAAGATCTTCAAAAATGGAAGATTTGCCAGGGAAATGGCAGTAATCTGTATGTTGCTGGACACTGGTATCAACTTGGTATGCATGACGCAGAAAGAGAGTATGCAAGAGACTAAAGTTGTCCTGAAATTTAGGAAATTTGGTATAGCTAGAGTGGAAGAATTCAGAAGCAGCAAATCTACGGAACAGGTTCTGCAGGGCTAAACAGCTGCAATGAGGTGCATGCCTTGTATTAGTAGCTGTCACTGCTGATGTGCAAATGGAGAGACATTGAGGACGGTCCTGGTGATCAATTACTTTCTTGTCCACTGGGATGTTTACCTGTATTAATTACAGAAGGAATATTAAAAAGGATCTATATAGCTGTAAAAATGCACTGCAGCTAGAAATAAAACTAACATGACTCAAGTGATTATTTAAAAGATGCTTATAGGACATGCTAATGCATTATCTCGATAGCCAGTTATTCATATTAGCAATAGGGAACTGAAGCTGGCAGGTTGTGATCTACGTAAGGCCACACAACTATGTCATGGCTGAGTAAGGAAATGATGAAGTTTCCCAATTTTAACATATGATCTCACAGGACATTTGTAGTCTACATTACAGAAATACACTAATATGTGTATTAAATAGTTTTACCAGAGTTAGTTAGAAGACTCTACTAATCTACTTTTTCATTAAAGACTTGTACTGCAAGCACTGATTCAGGAGAATTTAACTTCATAGAGCTTGTAGGAGGAGAGCCATATTAGTCTATGGTACCAAAATATCAGAAGGAGTCTGGTAGCACCTTTTTCAGCTAAAGAACTTTATTAAAAGGCATAAGCTTTGTGAGCTACATGAAAAGCACATGCCTTTTAACACAGTTTGTTAATCAGAAAAGGTGCTACCAGACTCCTGATTTTTTCCTTCACAGAACCGAGTTTATAATTATTTTAACTGACTTCATCTGATTTTCAAAAGGTGTACATCGATGGCACTGCAATAATAAAAATTTCCCTAAATGTGTTACAATAAAAATCAATTAAAATGACTGTATGAAATGATCCAGTTAAAATATTATCAGCCCATACAGCACCAAAAAGGGGGATTGCAGGTGATTTAAAAGCTGCTGGTGAATAAAACAAACAAGGTTATCTGGGCTTTTCACAGATTAATTGTCCTACTTGAAATGTGTTTGCTTCTTCTCATGCATACCCGCTACACTTCAGAGAGTGCAGAGATACAAAGGACATACCCAGTTGTTGATGAAATATTATACAAATAATAATTTTATTAATGACCAATCAATGACTTTCAAAGTAGCAGCTTTTATGATTTTCAGCAATACGACCCTGAAGAAAGCTGTCAAACCTTTCACTAGTTCCACAGGAAGAAAGAGCAAAGAGATTGTTCCACAAAAAAGAAATTGTCCCTCACCCATCCTCCTTACCTCAAGAGGTTTTTGTCTGCCTAATGTAAGACACAGTAGAACAAAAAGCAAAAAAACAAACCTTTAACATAAAGCCATCCAATCTAATATCAATGTGTTCATCCCTTTTCCCCGAGTTCTCCAGCTTGTATATAGCTTTAAATTGTTGTAGACTGCGATAAAGATCAAGGCAGAATAAATTCACCCAAAGCATGCTCCCTGTGTCCAAAGTGAAAACCAAACCATTCATTTGCAGGTACAGGTTTGGACATGGGACTGGTGAAAAGAAGAAAAATAAAGGTTAGTGTTCCATCGATGTCTTGCCTCCAATAGCAATCAATCTTGAAATCAATGTTGAAACACCTTAGATCAGCTACTGACCATGCTGGCTGGGGATGATGGGGGTTGAAGTCAACACCTATGGAGAGCACCAGTTGGGGAAGGCTGCCTTAAATGGTTCTAGTGGGATGCCTCATGCCCCCTACAAGCCTTCTTTGGGTAAATTTCCAAATCCCCAGGGAGACAGAGCATAAGCCTCCTAAACTGTAATAAGGAAATAGAAAGAACAGGATGCTTCCAGATAGAGAGCTCTTAGCATTGCCAATAAAAGGCCTGTGCAGCTACTATTCTATCTTTACAGATTTCATGTATTAAGAAAAACATGAATGAAATGGAAGGGAAATGTGGGAAAGTTCAATTGAAGGAAATAATAATTTTGACACCCTCCTTTATCAATTTTTGTGAAAGATTAGAGGAATATGATTCCTGAGATGGTCACCTGGAAAAGTAGTGTGATCTGGAAAATAGTACTCTGTGAATACTATATGGATTGCTGGTGTATGTTCCGGAAGATTCAATAATTTTCTCCTACATGAAAGTAATGTTGAAGGTTTCTTACTGTGTTGTCCAGCTGTGGAAACCTGGAAGGCAACAGAAATATAGGTATACATAGGTACATATACATGAATGTATGACTATGATTCTATTTGGTGTTTTACACTTAAGTGTACATAATCTATGACACAAAAGTAAAGATCTTAGAAGAAAAGCACCAGACATTGAAATGTTGTTAAGTGTTGTTATTCATTACTATTCAACAATAATCTGTTCTTGTTTTATAAGTAATTATCTGTTTGGTTTTATGGGAAAATGAACAGAATATGAGACAGCAGTTTGAAGTGAATCTTATTCCCCCAAAAAACCTTTTTTCTTTTTCTTTTTTGAGTGACAGACTGCTCTGCTCTAATGTAGTTCTTTTTTTAATTAATCATTTTAAAAAAGATTATAAACCATGAAAGATAGGAGTTGTATCAATAGAATAAGAAAGTAAAATATAATTAGCAAAATACAAGTACAGGTAGTCCTTTTTTAGTGACTGCCTCATTTAGCAACCATTCAGAGTTATGACAGTGATGAAAAAGTAACTTTACAACCAATCCTCGCATTTACAACCTTTGCAGGTTTGTAAAGCAAAGGAAAGCGGAAGTCAGATTGTAAGCACAGTCATGGTTTTACTTACTGACTGCTTTACTTAATGAACAAGTTGCCAGTCCCAACTGTGGTCACTAAACAAGGACTACCTGTATGTAAACATGGGGTCTACAATGTCATAGAGATAAGTTTTTCAATATAATCTTAGTTACTTACAGAGTTATAAAATGTGTTATGCCATTTTTTAAAGGAAAAACAAAATCGCTATTGAGCTTTAAACTAAGAGTATCTGGTTAATACAGTATAAATCACTAACTAGAATTATTGGCTGTAATGAATTAGATCAACACTAAAAACCTAATTTTTTATAAAGCTGAAATATAGATTCTAAATCTGAAAAATCATAAAAGAATATTTGTATTGAGACCAGTTAAAATCAAACTTGAAAAAATTAAACATACATATGCTTTAGTTATCTGTTCTTTAAAAATCAGAAATAAGTAAGCAGATATTCTTGATTTGGTCCTGAAAGGAAGAAAATTAAGAAATCAACTTAAGCTTTTACAAATCTTATTGGACAAAACAGTATTTATAGAAGATAGCAATGGTCCATGGTACTGGTCTAGCCCATCATGCCCCACCAATAATATTGGCTGGGACCACTGGATTGTGTAGTTTAGTGTGGGGGACAAATAATTATCTATTCTTACATATGATTCTTAAGCGCATATTAGACAAAACAGGCAAACTGAAACTACCTGATGACCCTGGAGATAAAAAACAGGTTGTTGTCATTTCCCTGGCGTGGAGCAGAGCCCAGCGATCTCTATAGTTGTGCACACCAATAAAAGATGCTTTGTTGCATCTACCTCCAAACACTTTGATTCCTTATTTAAGTGGGCATTTTCCCCACATCAATAGCAACAAGCCACAGGTTAGCCATCCTGGTCTATGTGATGCTTATTTTCCCATATGAATTTTAGAACTTTACCTGATGAATATCCAGATCATCAACTCGAACAACTAGGCAACTGGATCGGAGTCTATTCCATGCAGGCCATTGGAGTCCTAACAGGACATGAGATGGTGTGCTAGCCTGATGTAATCCCTTCTCTGGAGAACTTTTTGGAGAACTAGAAAGAACACCTCAAAGCAAAAACA